GACATAGGGTGAATTTATGCAAATAGGGTTCGTTATCGCAAAAAAACTTTTTCAAGAAGTTTTTAAATTGTAAAGACATACAAGATTATGCTCAACACTGTAAAATAAAATTTTAAAAAACAAACAGTAATAATTGCAGCTACTAAATTAGCGATGCAACATATTAATATTTGCTATTTACCCTATACTGCCGAAAGCAGAATATTAATTTCGGACGAATAAAAGAAGAAGCGTCTGCCGAAGACAAAAATTTAGTTCGTTTACATCTGTCTTTCTCCCCCCCCCTTCCTGGGAAGGCTTTATTCGATTAACAAAACAATAACGAAGATAAACAAATTTGTAAAGGGTTCGTCAAATTTCTTCAGACCCCAAGTATTATATATACATATATATATATACATATATATATATATACATAAAATAATAAATAAAAATTCAGGACAGTAGTATACACCATAAATGAAAAATTCAAAGTACTAAATAAGTTAGATGTAGATCGGTAATTTGTAGGGGGAAAAGCGACGACAACACTTAGAATATATGACTTTGCCTACAAATGTTTACACTTATTTTTAAACTGCTATATTTCAGGCTATTTGCCCCATCCCCTCTTTGTAGTCAGAAATTTGTTACANTGTAGTCAGAAATTTGTTACAAAGGGTCATTCTTCTTTTGTCTAAGTCTGGATAGATGGTGAATCAGTTCTTCAAAAACCAAAGGACTTTTTCTGAGAACAGGACTATTTATAGTTAGAAAATAGAGAAGTTTTTTTAAAACCAGAATAACCCATTAGGGGAGACAAATTATTATTTGCTACATGTGGAACAGCCGTTGGGATAAAATGGTTTAAGAAACTTAAAATACTAATTTATACACACCTTTTTTTGCAGATTTCTTAGTAGGTTGGCCCAACTGGCCACTAACATCTTGCAAACGTTTCTCAAGCTCTTGCTTTTTCTCACGCATATGCTCTTCTCTAGATTTGCCAGCAACTTTATTTTTTGTAGCTAAAATACAGAATAAACAAATCAGATAAAAAAATAACAATTAGTAGTATAGTTTGAAAAAAAAGTGACAAGTTTAATAAAATAATCAATATGTATATTTTATTTTTACTTACATCGTTTCCAAGAACATACTTAGAACATGATTCATATAACATAATTAACTAACATAAAGTATTCACAATTTTATAATTAGTATTTATTGAATAGAAATAAGGACCGAAATAATTCTACCAAGTATTTGTTATTAAAATTTAAAAATACATATAGGAACATTTTAAGTCTTATTTTTAGCCATTTTAAATTTTACAACAAATCCTTCGCAGCACTTCAAAATGACAGGTATAAGAAAGTAATAATACAGGTATAATGTCTGTATGCATAGTATCATAAAAAAGTATAATTCTAAATTTTGTCATTAGTATTCTTACTGTAAGGTTTTCGAGGTTTCTTTCGTAAACATGAAGCAACATATGATTCAAGTTCTCGTAAGGTTGATGGCTTTAATGTTTCAAAATCTATTTCTATTTCATCTGGGTTAGAATCTTTTAATGATGGCTCTCTTGACTGAATAATATGAACAACTCTTCCAAGTTTATCACCTAGAAAATACAAATACAAAGTTAAAAAATTTAATCAATAAAAGATTGAACATAAAATCATAGCACCATTGTCGTTATGTTTTGATAAGTAATATAAAACATCTAAGATTATAAATGAGTACACTAAACATAAAACATAATCTGTTAATACAGAATTTAAAATACAACTAAAAAAATAGTTAAAACTAATGTTAAATTGTTTAAAAAAAATTGAGACGATTCTGGTAAAATAGGGTAAAGTAAATAGTTTAACACACAGGTATTTTATAATTACTTAATTTTCCTGACTA